GTGAATAATAAATTTTGTAATGGAAAAAAAATCACTTTTCTTTAACTTAAATCTTTTTTTTTTCAATGTATTAAAGTTTTGACTACTGCTATGATACATTCTATTCTGATAGTTTTCATTGTATTATGTCTTAATCGATCGTTCATTAACTTTTTTTTTTAATATTCGATTTGTTTTCTGTCTTATTGATTGTTGATGCAAAAGAAAATAATTTTCATAAGAGTGTGATTTATTGACAGAGCTAATTATTTTCTAGATTTTTTCTTCCAAGGATACAAGTAGTGTATGTTATCGGTAATATCCAATCAACCTATAAGATACGTAATTTATGATAAAATAATTTCAAGGCAGTTTGGCGATAAGAATCGATCAATTTGATCATACCTGATTGATTATTTCATTTTTAATGTGTAAAATGTTAAAAATTAATTTACCATTAAATATGATAGACCTTTCTAGTCTAATAACTTAATAAATAATGTAGAGGTATCAATTTTTAGTCATTATGAACAGTGCATTTTATTTTACTTTTTTTTTTTTTTTTTAATAACAACAATTCTACGAGAATATTCATTTGTATGAAAACATTTATGATATCAAATGTTTCAAGACATCAGTACCACCATTTATGTATAACTTACTTCTTAAGTTCTTGATCTCTTCTTTCGAAGATGCGTCAACATTGCTTATTTTTCATTTCATTTTATTTATATTTTCTAACAAAGCAATTACAATCTGACATAGTTTTAAATAACTGTTCTTCCTTTCGCTACTAATATAAAATTATGTGTGTATTAGTTATTCATGTTTCTATACGACAGATTAAATAGAATATAATGATGTGTTTCATTAATATGACATAGATATAGTTAAGAGTACATTCATATAATAGTTCGATAAAATAATCCAAATGAATGAATCAATGATTACAAATAAAGTTATTATAATAATAATTGCTCGGAAAATGAAAAGAGAAAGAAATTTTGATCTTTCTGATTTCTAGAAAGTAGTTTGTCAAAAACATTTTTATGTCTATCAAAATGTTCATATTTGATCGTAATTTTTCCAAATTCTAAAAGTTTCGCCTTCAATGTTATATGTTAAGTCTATTAAAAAATTTAGTACTAAATTAATATTTCTCTTTTATAATTTTCTATTTAATCAATATGAAACAATAAAAGCATAGAATAACAGTTCCAGTACCAGTATAGACGACATCACCATAAACATGTATCATCCTTCTACTAAGAACATGATATTGAAGGCAACACATTTATTATAAAACTCTGTATATCATAACAGAAATTATAAATATGAAGAATGATGAGCATAAATGCATAGGAAATTTCGATTTTCAACCATGAAATGCATACCAAGGAACCATAGGATGTCTGTTGATACTTATCAAAATTCTCAACATTTATACTTTTTCTCTACAGTCTTGGTCATTTCCTCAACTGGATAGAAAATAATATTTTTCCAGGGGGTATCGCTATGATTTCAAATAGAGTAAATAATACATTTTATGTTAAATGAAAGTTCGTCGAAAATAGGATTTATTAATATCACATAGTAAGAACTATGAAAGCTTTTCAATGTCGAATGTAGGAAACTTCTACAATTTTATGCCCTACCTGCAACAAATAACTCCTATCATAGGGCTATTCAAACTAGATCTAAATCAAAATGATGAATGTCATAAAGTAACAGGTCCCTGACCTGGAAATATTGAAACCATAATCAAACATGAAGTTAACAAATCCTATCAGGGAAGGAACATAATCATTATTACGAAAGAACCACCGAAAAAAAACACGTTTTAGATGTTTCTGACAAATATGTAATACAAATTGAAGTATGTTACAGCAGTCAAGAAAAAATAAATTCTTTTGTAGTTCTAAAATTAGCTTATGATCTAAACGTTCAGTTAATCGTGTGGTTTTGTTGTTGAGCGTCTTCTTGGTATACGCGAACTGCTTCTTGTTGTAGGCTTACTACCAACGGTATTACTAGCATTCATTATAATTGGTTCTACGACTATTGTTGATTTTTGCATTTTCAATTCAGCATCATAGTGTAATTTTCGCAAAGCGTTCGTGAATCGTAAAAATGGTGGTGTTAATAATATTTTACCATTATTTGCTTGTGAATACGCTTGAGAATAGAGTTGCTGTTCTAATTTCAATACATTTTCATTTAAGATAGTTCTAGCATAAGTTAATAGTTCAGGACCATCTTCGAATTGATATAATTTATACAATTCAGGCATAATTTTATTCTGTTGAAACCATTGAGCAACATCGTCCCTGTTCCATTGTGATATAGGCTTCTCATCGAGGTTGATAGCAGATTTCCTAGAAGAAATCAAATTGAAGAGAACTCTAGTGTACTCCAAGTGATACAGTGACTATCAAAATTATTCAACAAGATTTGTTTCTTTTTTTTTACTTCACTAACTTAAGAGTTAAAAGTAATTCAAATAGTGACTCGAGTGAAAATATTGTTTCCAACAAGAATATAAGGAAATACAAATTATTATCAGGTTCTCAAAGAGAAGGTCTTCAGGAAATCAAAACCTAAAGTTTTCGACATCTGGAATACATAAATATAATTTTGCTTCGACGAATGATAAAGATAAAGCAAACAATTCTTTGCAAAACAAGATGTGTTCGAGTTCACTACAATGCTTTTTGACTTAGATACAACCATATTATGAAAGCTAGTAAAGTGGATATGCTACTATTCCCTGCAGCTAGGTGTGCATCAATTCCAGTTCTAGACTTAGAATTGATTGGAATTGGTCGGAATCGGGATTGGTTAGGGATAGGAAGTTATTCTTATACAATCAGCTACTTTACCAGTTATTAGGTAACAGAATAATGGTGAAATTCTGGGTTTGATTCTTTTCCACTAAAGAAAGAGTTTCTGATGAAAATGACGATTCTTTAGATAAAACTTGATCAAAGATTTTATGTGTACAGTTTACTTGACCGAGAAAGGAACTACATAATTTTGAGAAACCGATTATGGATTCGGATTCACTGACCTCGATTACTTTTGGTCAAGCTTTTTAAAAAAAAGAATTATTTTCTCAAAGACGTCTCTCCTTGAAAAAAGAATCAATTCCAATTTTAATCAACTCCAGTCAATTCTAGGAATTGGAAGTGATGCATATCTAGATGTAGCAAAAACATTTTTTTATCTTCAATCAAATTGCTTTATTTCAACCAAGAAAACATCGTAGAAAACTTGAATACATCTCATTTTGTAGAGAATTGTTTGCTCTATTCTTATAATTAGGAGAACCAAAATCATATTTATACGTTCTAGACTCTGAGAAACTTGTGAATCCGATAACAATTTTTCGACACTCGAATCACTATTTAGATTTTTTGTAGCGCTTAAGTCAGTGAAAAAAATAGGAAACAAATCTACTTGAGTAATTTGGCCATTCACTGTATCTCAATTAAAAATTACAAGTTTCATGTAAAATATTTTTCATAGAATAATCGAAAAACAGTCGAGTTATTTTGATTATTCATATTTAAATGACTGAAAATCGATTGACTTTGATTAAAATTCGGTGCAAGAATCAATTGATCATCGATTAGAATGTCATTCATTATCATTAGAAAGCATTGACAATGAATCAAAGTGATATCATTTATAATCGATAACATGAAAAATTCATTCTAGTCAATTAAAATATCATTGAGGCTCATGAATTTTGTTAAAATTAAATGTTAATGGATCACCGTCTGAGTGAGGTAGAACGATGAGTAGTATTTAACAGATCAATATGTGGACAGCTCTTTGAGTATAAACTAAGGAGTTATTCTCATCGATATTTTCAGATTGTGTCAAAGTCAGAAGAACATCAATACGTAGTACATTCATTAGAATATGCGTATATTACTTAGACCAAAAGTGAATGAGCTCGCAACAAGTTAGTCATTAATTGCAACTTTCATCGAAAAGCAATGCTCTCTGCTAGTGATAGTATACATGTAAGAAATAGTGGCTAAAGTCGGAATCAATTAGCAACATAGTATCATTTCAACTTTTGGCTATATTGATACGCAATACCCTTACCCATACCTTGAAAAATACATTAGTTGTATAAATACCCAGATTTCGACTATTGGTATGTTCATTGACTGAGATAAAGAAGAAATCGGTAAAGTTCGAATCTTGACAGCGGAACACAAAGGTAAACAGAGTATGTAAAAAAACCTATCAGTGAAAACCGATGCCATTCTAGTGACAAAACGATGTTCATGTAGCGCTAGCGCTAAATATCACCAGTGTTTTTTCTGGTAATATTTTCAAAATTTTAATGCATCACATGTGAATAATTGAATATCATGAATTTCGACGATTAAAAATCGACTACCATGGTTGCATCTCCACATCATTACAGGATTACTTTACTTCGAGAAAATAATCGATTATAACCGACGATTATTCAATGTTATTTCTACATTGATATTATAGGCTCCATCTTCAAAATATGTTTTTACTTTTCTTTCTATTTTCTGGATATGATACCTTTTTTTCTTCGATCGTACATCATTATCTCTTCTTTTGTGTTTTTATCTTTTCGTTAAAATTCTCATTACATGTGATGATATATACGCGGGTTCTTTCTCGTCTAATAGATTCGTTATGTAGCTACGTAGTTATTAGATGTGAGAGTCTGATGTATGATGCCGTATGCATGTGTCATCGAAATAAATGAAGAGAGGTTGAATAGATCAAAACTATACCAATGGGATTGATATGGCAAGAGAACGAGTTACAGCAACATACAATGTTTCACTCATTTCTAGGGCATCCTGATTAAATAATGCATCTATTAGTTTTTGTAAGAGAAAAGTGTGACATTTTTTTTTACAAATAACTAAATTTACACACCTTCTGTAAAAGACTTGTTGCTTAATTCCTAATTCTTTGTTTTCTGTAATTGGCGTCACCGTTGTTCTTTCTGTTAGTATTATTGATTCATGATGTACAGGAGTAGATCTTGTCATAACTGAAGTCGACGAATCAACATTATTCTTGCTATTGTTCAATAATAAATATTCGTCGATCATTTCCATTAAATCTTTTAACTTTTCTTTCTCCAATGGTTGAGTTTGACGAAATCGAACATATTTTAGCAAACATGTATGAATAGCTAAACAGAAAAAAAAGTGTAAATGGTTTAGATTTTTTGAAGGTCAATCATGCTGAAAATGCTTTTACCTAACCAGCCTGGCGGTTTATCGTTTTGAATGAACACTGGTATAATCTGTTTCTTCAAATGATCATTTGCATAGACAAATTCCTGTTGACATGATTTGCTTTCATAATACTTGTTTGATAGAAGACACAGAATGACACTCGCTTCTTGTATACCATCGGCTATTTTACCCCATAAATAACCTGTTTTACAACATTGACGATCGATCCAAATATCAAATTCATTGTTCCTCTTATTCAACTCATCGTAAAGCTGTTTGCAGAAATCATTATCTCCGTGTGAATAACTAATCATAATTGATGGTTTAGGAATACTTGGACTGTCGATTGATGATGATTTGAGAGGAAACGCTACAGCTCGAAGTTTTTTAATTCCATATTGCTCTGATTTTTGAGTTTCAGATTGTTGTTGTTCAACAATATTACACAAAATACCGTTAGCTGCTTTTCGTATATTTTCAATATATGTGGGAACGTAATGTGTAGGTGTTGTTACAATCATTTTGTTGTCTTTTTCATAAGCAATCTGTTGAATTAACTTCTTAAATTCTTCAAATTTTTTTTTATTTTCATACAATTCCTGTTTGTATTGAGGTTGAAGTGAAACACTCCAAAAAATATTGCATAATGCTGTCATTGTTGTCAATTTGAGTGGATCATTATATTTGACTGTAGCATAATATTTAAAGAAAAAATCAAGTAGAAATTCTAGTGTTGTTGCTGTTTCTAGTTGTTCAACTTCTGCATGTTGCATTATATAATCAAGAGTACGATCATAACTAAATAATTTTACTAAAACAACTAATGGTTCACTCACATGAAATCTATGTTGGTATCGATAATCTTGTGCTCTAGCAGACAAAACTAGAGTATCAAAGATATCATCCAAAACTATATTCATCTGTTTACGATCGTTTTTTATTTGTTCAGGCGTTGACAATAAAGCCAGTGTCATACACAAAATTTCAACTGTTTCTCGAAAATAAGAATCGCTCTTTTTGATTGTTATTCGAATTTCTTTCAATACTGACATAAGATCAAGCGCATTTAATACCTTTATTCCATCTTCATGACGACTAATATTGTATAGAATTGTAAGTAATGGTCTGAAAGCTTTACATTTGTACTTGATGACCTAAATAGTGTGACAAAATAGGCGAAGATCGGATTTATATCTGTATTATATAATTAATTACTTACTTTTGATTCTTTGTTATCTCGGCCACGATAGCTGAAAAATCAAAAAAATGTAATGGAAGCTATTTCAGGTTCAGATTCAATCTTTTTTAGGATTTATTTCTCTAAGAACCTCTATATATTGTAGCGATTTCTCTGCATGAGATTAAGCTATTAGAATATAGTTTCAGTCATCTGATAGAGCTTATTAAGTTGTACTTGGATCATGCTCCTAGACAAATCAACTCTGAAAAACGGTTGAATCTAGACCTAATATAACCTGGATAAAAATGTAAATGTTCTAGATAGATAATTATTAGTCGGAACATAGTCAATATAAACAACTGAACGGACTATAGATAATAGTGGTTAATTCATCTAAAAATCTATTTAGAGAGTTTGTTTGAATTCCTATGGCAATATTAATCCTACTTGTGACACGTTACAGACATTATCTGAAACTTAAAAATTTTTTTGAGATGCAAAATTCCTAGAGAGTCCTTAAATAATTTTAAATCCCAAGGAAGTCATCAGGGACTACATCGGAGATTTATGAGAGAATGCAGGAATGCATTCATCATTTTGTTTTGCGTCTATCGACGTATATAAACGACTTAGATGGAAGATTTTGAAAAACTGGTAAATGTTTCTGTATAAAGTGAATTTTTGTTAACAAAAACTTAACAACAAAGCGATGTTATTGTGACAACAAGGAGAGTAATCCACTTTAGAACCTATCAGTTGTTTAGAAACTCTTGATAAATTACTAAATTTTCCAATGATTTTTTCATGGAAAGTGGACTAGGCTATAAAAAGTTTGACTTGAAAAACTTTGTATACTAAACGAAAGTGTTTTGCCCTGTTGCACCCTGAAAGTAATTTGTGGAGAATTCAATTTTCTACGAAAAACTTTCTTCCTTGGAAAGTATGGAAAAATCATTTCTCTAAATATTTTTTGTTTTTGACTTTGAAAAAATGATTTTTCCGAATCGAATCAGGAATTATCGTTACAGAAAAGTTAATGTCGCACAAGAATGTCTCGTGGGGCAACTTCGAAAACTATTGTCTTGATAGTCAAAAATCGAAAGTTTTTTTTTCGAAAATATAAAGTTGTCAAACAGCAATCATCAAATTTTGTTTGTTGCATGACTATTGCCTATCTTACAAAGCATTTTTGTAGTCCACCAATGCTTCACTATGATCAATAATTTCTCTCTCACTCATGATAGATAATTAGAGTCAATCTACAGCATACTTATGTATGATTCCAATCATATGCATAACACTTCCTGGAAAGCCAAGTTTGATCAAGTTTGGCACCAAATCTGTCTTATCAGAGTATGTGGTTAAAAAATCAAGAAGTAACACAATTGTTTTGGAACATTTTGGAAACATATTAGAATTATAATATTGTTTTAGACAGCTCATCATTAACATTAAAATTTCATTATAGGCAATTAGTTGCTTTAAATCTTCAACTGTAAACGATGAAGCATAGACAACAGAATTGAAAGCACCTTCAAGGATGCGACTAACGTTTGAGAGGATGCAATTTTCATATAACAATTTCACAGCATAGCTTATATCAGTATTCGATGTTAAATAATTTTTAATGTGTTGTAATTTGAAGAAATTAAAATATAAATCAACTATTTCATGTGCGTAGGTAGTATCGTCATCTTGAAGCCATGTTTTCGAAGTATTAATAGTTACTGAAAGTGATTTTGTTTGCTTTCGAACTGCAAAATAGTTTTGTTTTGTAATATTACTTTTAGAATCTTCAATCACATTGACAAGTTCAACAAGAATATGATACCACTCAACCAAAACTGTTTTATCCAGTCGTTGTTCTTCATTATCATCTTCTGATAATTCAGTTTTACTACTTTTCGATGTTTTAATTTGCGAGTTATTACATGATTCATTTTCTTTGTTTGCAGAAGACTTCGCTTCATTGATTCTTGATATGTTACTTTGAAGATATTGTAATTTTGTTAAGATATCAGAGAAAATTCGTTCGTCAGAAATGTTGACAGTCTCTGCTTCCTCTTCAATGTCACTAGAATCATTATCATGCCAGCTGAGTATACTTGACTCGTCATCCGAATTGATATCTTCCGTCTGTATGGTTGGTGTCGCCATTGTTATCGGTGTTTTTGAAAGAAGAGCTGAAATCGTACGAGTGAGGGAAGTCAATTCATTACTATCATCATCAACGGTATCATTTTCAAGTTTTTTGATGATACTAAAAGCATTATAAGAGTTTAAACTATTTATCCCATCATTGTGACGACTGATGTTGTGGATAATATTGATTAATGGACGTATAGTGTCTGCTTTCTCCGAACTTGTCTAGTTACAATAAGAAATAGTAGTAGTAGTGAAGTTTGTGATATAGACAGGATTTAAAACTCACTCGTTCAATTGGACAGTGTTGTTCGCCGCATCTTTAAAAACAAAAAATTCTACACTTACAAGTCAAAGAGATGGATCTTTATTCTTTCAGATCAATCGGAAGTAACGGTCATCGGAGACCGATTCACTTAGTCGTAGACTCAATTATTATGCATCTTTCAATTTTAGGATTTAAAATGCATGAATTACCCGAAAATTCATAAGAAAAACTCTTTTCCTATGAATTTTCAGGCAATGTGTCAACACGAGTAGTATGACACATAGTCCTGCCATGCTTTGAAACATGTCTTCTCAGAGTGGAATGCTGCATCAATGGTCATATAAAGACTTTAGAGAGTGTGGCCCACATCTAAATGCTCTAATTAATGGCATAAAAATATTAACTTTTTGTATAAGCCCTAGTCGATAAGTAGACCGAAACAGTATATATTCGAAGCTGGCTCAGCATTCTCTATCTATTCATAAAAATAAAAATTTTAATTTTAAGCCTAATAAATGCTATAAATAAACGAAAATTTTTCTCCTGTGATTTTTCGAACGGTTGAGCTTAGGAAAATGAGCACACCATCTTTAGCCATGGTTCAAAGTCATTCAAAGTTTGTCAAAGTATTCTTCTCTCTAACCCCTAGCAACATATTTAACATAAATTAGCACAAACGTTCGAGGTACGTGACAAACAATTGTTTCTGATCAAAAGATATCTGTTTTTAAACAAAAAAGTCATACAGTCACCTGCCATGCAAAAAGTGCACACTGTGTAACACTCTTAAGAAAACTACTAAACTTTCTTGCGTAAGTGTTTGCTTTTCAATACATCTCTCTATTATATGTAGTTTTCATTTCAACTTACCCATAAATCATTGAGCACAAATTCAATATTGTTCCAGGACATCCAACTTTGATGAGATTTGGTATTAATACAGTTTTATCAGAATAAAATTGTAGAAATGTTAATATTTCACTCGTTGCCGAACTAAATTTTGGCGATGTGGAAATCGACAGGTCTTTTTTGACATAATTCAACATTGACATTAATATTTGGTTGTAATTGCTTAAGTCTTCTGCAATTTGTTCTGTAAAAGTAGACGCGCACAGGATCCATTGCATTATCTGAGTGACGAACACGATACAATTCTGATAGAATTGTTCTACGTTGGGGTTCATTTCTTGGTTTGTTAAATAATTCTGAATTTCATTTAACTTGAAAAAATTCAGATAGAGGTATAGTACTTCAATTGCATCGGTAGTGTTACTTTTGACAAAATTCACTGTCTCTTCATATTTTAATGATGATCGGGTAAACTGACTAACAGGTTCGTTGATCAATGAGAAAATTTCGGTTGTAAAATTACTTTTATTTTCTTCGATGACATTAATAAGTTCAACAAGAATATGTTGAAAGTCAACTAAAGTCGATTTTTTTAATCTGGTCGAGGTCGCTGCTCGTTCTTTCAAATTTTGTAATTTATTTAATACTTCGATAAAAATTCCTTCTTGTGTAGTTACATCATCGATTTCTTTCTCATTGCTACTTGTTGCATTTGAATCATTTGATGATAGGCCATTTGTGATTGATGAGCCATCAATTTTTGCATCATCGAGTTGCAGTGTTGTCATTTCACGAAATCTATAAACAAAATCCACGTACCACTCGAAAAATGAAACTATTTTACGTGTGCGTATGGAATGTCTGAGTATGGTGATCGGTGTCAGTGTTGGTGTGAGTCGAATCTTGAGCAGCACCAACACATTTCCCAGTACCCATGTTGAGACGCCTTATCCGCCTATTTATGACTATTTAAGACTTTAAATATCACTAATCGATGGAAAGAAATGTGTTATAAAAGACAAAGAAAAAAAAAGAAGATTTCAAGCGAGCACATTATTCGAGTGACAAAAATTGAAAGATTAGCATTTGGACAAAAATGAAAAAGTATCAATGCTATTCCGATGAAATCAAAATGTGAAACACGTTGAGTCTATTTCCATCATCAACAAAGATCTTAGGTACACTGACCTTCGTCGATAATCGAGTTAATGGGCAAGCATGTCGGAAAAAAAGAATTTTCAAAGAGTAGAAACCGTTTCAAAGTGAAACAGTGAAGAGCGCATTCTACTTTTCGAAAATACTTTTTTTTCTTAAGAAACTTTCATCTGTTAGGAAGGTGTTTGATATTTTTCTAGCTGAGAATGATGAAGAATGCATTCAAGAGTTTCTGGCACTTTTAATCATTTGCATTTTATAGTTGTTCTTTTTCTTATGCATGATCATTTTTAATATATAATGAATAATTAGACATATGACGTCGATGGTAAAAATCTACTGTCTATCGTTACTATTATTCCTTTAGCAAGAACTAAACGGAAGAGAAACCCAGATATCGTTATTAAAACACAGTGCAAAGATACTACGTATATATAAGAAAAAAAGTGTTGCATATATAAAATCCAAGTAAAAAGACGTGAGCAAAAAATGAATAAAACAAGATAGAAAGTAATCATTGAAAACTGACACATGTCAAACAAAATATGATACTAAAAAAACAGAGCAGTCAAAGAATGAATAATAAAATAAAAATATCACGATTGAATTAGTTTATCGATAGGGTAAAACAAAACTTTTTTCTCATGTCGAGTATTACCATGGCTAGAAATGGGTGTGGGTGTGGATGAAACGAAAACTCACACTCACACCCACACTCTCATTGTTTAGCTTTATGAGATGTCTCATTTTTCGATTAAAGATTTGTTCACATTCCTGTCACCTTAATAAATTTTGTGTCATTTCATTTCTAGATAATGCCAATGCGTGTCGGCGTGTGGATGTGGGTGTTAGTTTTCTCTTCAATCACACTTACACTCATACCAACACCCGCAATGTTGATTTTAACTTGTATGGTAATCGACACTTTCTTGTATAGAGTGTTTCAAAAGTCTGGTCGAGTAAGAAATATGAACAGCTCATGAGAAGTTGAAATAGTTTATGGTTTTTTTTACAGTTTGATCGAGTTTTTATTCAATACATTTCAGATCAAATGTTTAGATCTATGGTAGTCAGAATGAAAATAGTTTGGCTCATGATCAAACGGGAATAGGGTAGGCCACATCCTTAAGATTTTGTGAAATCAGTATTGTAGAAAATCTATGATAGTCTCGAAGATACTGATCAATCACTGAACAAAAAGTCAATGACTTGAATGATTGCTGAGACTGTAGAGAAGAGTCTAATGCTCATTCTGTGATAGAAGTGTTAGACGAATTGTATGTTGTAAGGATTTAGCAAAAGAAATTTCGTCATACATATCACATTCTACATGACAAAAAGGTGTCCTGTCTGCAAAGAAAACAGGAAGATATTTTCAAAACAGGTTCAAAACCAAATCAATTAAATATCGACTATTGTAAGGTCGAGTAGCGTCCCAATTTTGAAAAGTGATACCCAGGCAAGACACTATTAAAAACATAGATGTATAGGAACCATTCGACGTAAGTCAAGACCGACCGTGCTCAATCGATGATCACTAATTGGGCTGGCTTTTATGTGTAACAGAAGAAATTCTTTGATGAATCTCTGCGCAAGCCGTTTCAAAAAATATTTTTCTGAAAGTACTGCTCATGGAATAAAAAAATTTTAAAAAAATGCTATTAAAATGATGAAATGAATAAAACCATTGATTAAAATGTACATTTTCATGGAGTTCATTGCATGATGTTGACAAAAAAAATCAAATTCACTGCATTTACTTGATGAAAATGTCATTTTTCATCAATAAAGGACCCTGCCGGATAAGATCATAAATCTGCCACCCCCCTAGATTTCAACTTCAATAGTGTAGAAAGATAGAGCATGAAATTCTGCACATTTTTGTATATTTATTTTTTTTTTTTGTCAATACCAAAAAAATTTTTTAAGGACGAAATAATCTCGGGGAGGTATATCAATTTTGGGTTTCCCAAATAATAATTATGGTATTCATAATTTTTCTTTTGTAAAATTTTTATGAAAACTAATAGTGTAGATCGATAGAGTTTTTCGTGCTCTACAAAATGGTATAAATAGATAAATTTCAAATTGTTGCAATCAGGGTCTATAAGACTCACAAATGTAAGAACATATACAAAAAACATATTAAACGATTATTTTTGATAAGTTTCAAATGAGTTTTCTGGCTAACGATCATTTGCACAAGATGACGACTACCATAGAAAAATTCCTCGTCATTTGCTCTACAAAATGGTGTAAGTTTGAAGGAAAAAATTATGGTCCCGAATATAAGATATTCGATGATTACTTTTGAGCACTCGCTATTTTACTCGTATATCGATGTTTTTTTGGAACAGATGTAACAATTTATTTAAATTACTCCAGTTTGTCTATGAAAATTGACATCAGCTTTTCATTGAGTAAGGGTAACTACGTTAAATAGTATTCTATGACCCATGTAAAAAAATTTAACTGAAAAATCAACAAATACATGATTTTCATCGATTTCAAAGCTAATTAATCGATGAAAACCCAGATATTTTGATTTTTTTCGATTAAATTGAAGATTATAATCGATTTCCTTGCATAATTGATTCAGAATCAATGGTTTTTCATCGATTATCATCAATGCTTTTCATTGGTATCGGATAAAATCGATTATAACCAACTATAATCAGTTTGCTACGATTTTTTATTAATCAATTAGAATCAAATTTTAGGGATAATCAATTCTAATCAGTATTTGATGATTTTTTGGTCATTTAAAATCAACTATGATGGATTATAATCTACTAAAATCGATTAAGTATTTCAATCGATTATAATCATGAATCTCAGAATCATCTAAAATCCAACGAAACTGCTTGTAATCTAACAAAATCGATTATGTTATCAAATCGATTATAATCATTAAAGTAAGAATCGTCTAAAATCAACCTACACTGATTATAATCTACTAGAATTGATTAGGTGTGCGAATCGATGATAATCATTAGGTCAAGAATCGTCTGAAATCAAGTGATGCTGATTATAATCAATTAGAAATGATTATCTTTTCGAATCGATTATAATCATTAGGCTAGGAATCGTTTAAAATCATCCGATGATGATTATAATCAACAAAATCGATTAAGTTTTCAAATCGATTACAATCATTAACATAAGAATCGACTAAAATCAACTAATTCTGATTATAATCTACCATAATCGATTAGATTTTAGAATCAATTATAATCATTAGACTAAGAATCGTCTGAAATCAACTAATACTCATTATAATTCACCACAATCGATTAGGTTCTTTATTTTCTAAAGATGTAAATTTTCGTTATCGTTGTCTACATGAGTAGGTAAATAAAAACACGTTATGAGAGAAGTACAATACAAGTGAAGAGGAATGAATAATAAATTATTTAGCGGAATGAAGAAGTGTGATGATGAAAAAACGCAGTTATGACTATTACGGAACAAAATATATGGGAGTGACCAGTCAGTCTGATACTGCAATTCTTTTTTTGTACGTGAAACTTCTATAATATATCAGAAAAAAGGGTCGCATTCACTTTGCCAACAATCACTTTGTGACACATCATTTTGCCGACACCACTTTGCTGACAAATTGTTTTGTCGACAGGTACTTTTGCCGACGACTTCTTTCGTCGACACCATTTTGCCGACAAACTTTGTTTATATCTTAACCTACTAAATCTAGTAATTTCCAGAGTACACCGGGAGGAGGTGTATGAACTAGTGTCCCATGAACAAAGGACAAATATACAGATATAAAAACCCATCGATCTTAAGTTTGGACTTGCTTTCGTAGGCTTAATCACTTCAGCATACCTGCTTGAATCGCTCTCACTGTTTTGACTTGAAGCCATAATTAAATTGTAACTTATCTTACGAGTAGCAGATGAGTTTTAAAATTTTTTGACGCAATATTGTCAACAAATTTCAATTTTTTTTACTTCAAATTTTTGCCGACAAAATAAATAATCGGCAAAAAGAATAGTCGGTGAAACGAGTCCTCGGCAAAGTGTACATGTCGGCAAAAAGTACCTGTTGACAAAACAATTTGTCGGCAAAGTGGTGTCGACAAAGTGATGTGTCGGCAAAGTGATTGTTGACAAAGTGATACGGATCCCAGAGAAAAAAATGATTTTTTTACTGGTTATAGTCCTTGTATAATGCTGCTGATCTGTCAGGGATAAGGAGGCCTATAACTTGTTGGAAATCAAAATAATCAAGTGTCTTCAAATAACCTTTTGATATTTACGAAAGTGTTTTGCGAAGACACTTGATTATTTTGGTTTCCAACAAGTTATAGACCTCATTATCCCTGGCAGATCATCAGCATTATACGAGGACTATAATTGGCAAAAAAATCCTATTTTTCTGATATATTATAGAAACTTTATGTACATAAAAGGGATTGGACTATCAGGCTGACTGGCCACTTCCATACATTTTTAGACTAATGACTACTTTAATGCAGTATTTTACAAAAAACTGAGGAAAAAAGTTTAATTATTCTTCGATAATAAAATGCACGCGTCTTCACAATTAAAAATCCCAATAGATTTGTTACAAAACTTCTTAGTCAACATTTGTTTTATTGCTTTTCACAGTTAAA